ACATGATAAAAATCTTGACACAGTTCTCAAAGATATAACTTCCAAAAATTAGACAAAATATGATATAAGCTCTATTATTATTACTTCAAAGTCAGGAAATTTTAGCACACCAAAGAAGTAGTATATAAATGAACTTCCTAACACCTTGCTTGGTATTTTAATATGTAATAACTTGAATCCATGTTCATATTACTCAGTGTTATAAAATGGTGTTTGCTATTTGATGAACTGAAATAATAGCAGATTGTAGCACATTAATATAAGGTTGGTCCGGCTCTCTATCTAAAACATAATGTCTACTTTGCAGTATTCAACCTGTATTTTGCAGTGTATACTCTTTTAGTGACACTGGGCTCCTAATAGCATGGATGTTACCTTATTTTAGTTAAATATTACAATGAACATTGCATTTTGGCATTGTCAAGTTGTCATTTCTAAATTGTAACAGCCCTAAAAAAATGAATAAAGTGTTAACTCACAATTTTTTAAAAAGGGCATGGTAATGTAAATCTGCTCAGTGCCAGCAAGACTTCCCTAGATAAGACATGCACCCAGAGAAAAAATGCTAAGAACTGTGGACTGATGACTCCTATTTGAATGTACTGACAGTATCATCTCTAGCATTCTGTCACTGCACTATAAGCAGAGAATTTGTCTTCTCATGTTCACCATTGTTTCTCTAAAGCAAAATTGCTCAACCTTGATATTATTGATACTTTGGAATAGATGATTTTTATTATGCACTATAGCATGTTTAGCAGTATCCCTAGCCTCAATCCACTAGATGCTAGCAGCACACTTATCCAGTTGTGACCAACAAAAATATCTCTCATATTGGCAAATGTCCCCTTGTGAAAATTAATCTTATTTGAGAACTACTGCTCTGGAAAATAGAATAGGACCAGGCAAAAACAAAATACACCAAATATTTTTGGATTGATTTAAAACAGGAATGAACAGTGTTCTATAAATTGAACTGCTTATGATATGCTGTGCCTGGAAAAATTCATAGAACATTAACTGCTATGCATCAGAAAAATATAGAACACGTCAAACCCATGATTTCACATACTGCTTTATAAGACAACATTAAACTGAATAACTTAACTGAAAGAACATTAATTGAATTAGTGTTGATAATGCACTTTGCAAAAATCATAAAAGTGATCAAGATGATATGTAAATAACTGAAGTTTGAAGCACTAATCTATATTAAGGGAAACGTAGGCAACATATTTCCTAAACATGTACGGTGTAAGAGTTTCCCATATGTCTGTTTACGTAGGCCACCAGAACCCTTACTGGGAATGATCTAGCACCTTATACAGACTAGATACAGGTGTAGAAGGTAAACCACTCATGCTCCTAGAATTAGACAATCTGCTATATATTCTAAGGTGTGCATATCTGTTTGAGATGGGGCCTAAGCTCCGTATTATATTAGAATTCAAAGGAAAAAGAGATTACTTCCTCCTCAGGTAATGAAGTAAGGCTTCACTACTGATACTGAAGAATTAATGTAATTTTTATAGGAGTCGATAATGCTGAGGAAATGAGTAGATACAGTTGGAAAAATTCAAAGCATATTTAAGGGGTAAACAGAGGCTAGTTTGGCTAGGGTACAGTATGACCATTAAAAAAGGCAGAATCTGGTTGTAGAAGATAGTCAATTCTAGGCTGGGTAAATCCACTAAACAGTGATTTTTTATTGAGTTTATTGGTACATTTTAGGTATACCTTATGATCACATTCATCATTGGGAATTTGTACCGGTACATGCTATATCTTGGTTCTTATTTTTTTCCCATTCCCCTGCCCTCCTTTCAACCCCTCCACTCCTCCCTATATACATATGCTTTGTTTCCATTTTTTCCTTCTTTTCTCATTTTTTTCTTTTCCTTCTTTCATTTCTCCTGCCTCCCCTCCTTAGTTCCCCTTCCCCTTTGAACATTTTCTTCTTATTTCACAATATCTATCATACATCTTGGTCCTCATTAACACTTTCAGTTTCTCACACCAGAGAAACAATTAGGTATTTACACATGTGTGTCCTATTTATTTCACTTAAGAGTATGGCCTCAAGGTGCATCCATTTAGCTATGTCTCTACTCTATCTTTCTTTGTGGCTGAGTAATACTCCATTTTATAAAAAAAACCCCACACCTTCTTTATCCAATCACTAGTTGATGGACAATTAGGCTATTTCCAAGATTTAGCTATTACAAACTGTGCTGCTGTAATCATGAGTGCACATATATTGCTGTGGATTATTTTTACTAAGATACCTTAATGTCTGGCTAAAAGCTATTTTGTTGTTGTTTTAAAGCATGTTGCCATTGCTTTATTTATTTTTTATTACTACATTGCTGCAGTAGATTTGGGGTGATGACTGAAAATAAAGATTGATGAATAGTACTTGGAAAACTATAAAAACTAAAGTATAAAAACTAAACACACACACACACATTTAGCAGCTAAAAGAAGGGAGTAGAGAGACTAACGTAGCAGATCAGAGTGGAAAGAGCAAGCTAAAGCTAAATCCTGGAACAAGAAGCAGCAGGTAACATGGGGTTTGGATTGAAATGAGCAGTAGGCCAGAAGCCCTATTTTCTTGAAAGAAATTGCCTTCTTTAAAACAAGATTCTGATCTTTGGAGGCTTTCTACTCCAAGGCTAGGTGAGGTGGTTGGTAGAATTGACTTTTGCCTCATTGATTTCATCTTTTCCTGAAAGATGGCTACCTCCAGTGATGTCTTTTGTCTCTGCCATGCTGACCTTTAGAGAGGCAATTCCTCTTTGAAAATCTTGGCCTATGACCGGCAGTCCTTTCTTTTGTGGTTTCCACTAGCACAACTGAAATAGGCTTGATTCTTTTCAAAATGACTATTAAATATTAAAGAATAAACAAGAAATAAAATACACGAAGTTCTGACAGATTTATCTAGTATCTCTGATATCACCTTTCCTCTCACTTCTTAAGTCTCCTTTTCCTTCTGTTACTGGAAATATCTTCTTAAAATCCAAATTAAACGACATCGTTCCCCTCTTTATCTCTTTGTGGCTTCTCATTTGTACATGGATTACATTTTAGGATGTCAACTTTCTTATGTTTTTTCACCAGAGAGAAATATCTTATAATTCTTCTTACATAATGGTTTTATTTATCTAATTGGAAAGAGTTTACAGTAAAGTTAAAATTGAAATATTTGGAAAGAGTGTGGGACCTTTCTATAAAAATATAGAAAAGCGCTAACTGTCCTAAAGCCTTCCATAGCTTCAACTCATTCTTATTAATATTGAGTTTTCTGATGACTGTATATTCAGGCTGCCTCAAGGGAAAATCTTAGCAGATCTATCCCAGTTCAACCTGAAGAGTTCTATACTAACCCATTTTACAAGTTGGTGTCCTGCATAAGATATTTTGAGGATTGTTTGCTGCTTTCAAAAGAAGCAGAGTGATAATTTCTAAAGTTCCTATCAGCTCCAGAATTCTCTGGGAGTCTGCCTCATTTTTTCTTGATTAACCTTATGTTAGTTTTCTTTCTTATAATTAATAACTTGTTAGAAAATAATAGTATTGCTGAGCTGCAAAAGACTTTTGCAGTTACCTTGCCCAGTGTCCCAAAATGAGCTCCAAAAAGTAGGGCTCCTGAGAAATGTTAATTGTTTATAAAAAGGACTAAAGTAGCCAAATAGGTTGAAACTGTACTTTTGTCACATTGCTCATTAGCATTTTAGGCTCTGAAAAGTCGTATAATAAGAATACCTATGCGACCTTAAGTCAGCATTTTGTACATTTATCTGATCAAAGTGGCTTGTTTTAAAATAACTCATCTTTTAACATGTAGTATAATTTTGGAAATATGCATATAGTTTAGCACCCTCCTTTTGCAAAGAATTTGAAATAGAAAATGATTTTCCCAGTGTCACAGAACTACTTAACAGGTTTCAATCTGATATTTATTCCTTGATTGTCCCTGGTTAACTTCAAGTAGGTTATACATTTTTAAAAAACTTTTTATTAGTACATGTTTGTAGTTCATAATATTTGCATTTATCATAGGGTCTAGGTACATGTACTTAATGTTTAATTATTTCTAGTCTCTTTTCTCTCTTCTCCCTTGCTTCTCCTTCTATCATGTATAAATATCATATTTTCCTTATCCATTCATCTATAATGGACTTTTAGAGTGTATCTTATAGCTTTACCTCTCAGGTGCTTAGCTTCATATTGGGAACATGACATGTGAATAGTAAATGTATGGCAGTTCTCTGGTTGAAACTTCTAAAAAAAATGAAGCATGATGGTATTAATTTCTGTGTATGTATATATTTTTCATCTTTTATAAAGAGAATTCCTGCTCCCCTATGCACACACTCTTTCTGCAATTGCAATATGTGATTTTTGTTTCTCCAGAGTTTTCTTCTGTCAGTAGTTCTTGGACATAGATTCATTCTGTTTATTGGAAATAACACTGTTGGCTGTTTTGCTTCAGGGATAATTTGATTAGGGTTGCTGCTGTTTGACACTATTCAGGAAAATGTTACGCTATAAAGGGTATTGGATTTGCCACAGAATGATACTGAAGGGGAGCCAGGGGCAGGGAAGCTAACAACATGCTAGCACAGTTATTAACATTGGGTTTTTTTTTTTTTGACATTTTTGTCCACCGTTTTTGGTTGATATCACTGCCTTCATAAGAGGCAACTACATGACCAATGTGATGATTTTATTTGGCAAGGGCAGAAACTAATACGAGATAAAAAAGATCATATTAAGTTGATTTAGAGCCAATGCTTTCCAGAATACCATGTTTCTGTCCTCTGAGATTAAATATCTGTGATAGAGAAAACACTTTTATACAGAAGGAAGCTTGGAATGCACTGAAACAAAATGCTCATGTTGACCACATCAGCTGTAATGGAGCTTATCTGATATAGTGACTCAGCCTACTGAATCTGACTGTGAATCTGACTGTGTGTGTGCTCTCTTTTGTGCAGAGGATCATCCTCTCGGACCTGCCTGAGGCCAGGAGAAAACATGGGGAGGGGTAAGTTTCTCTCTTCCCTTTTAAATAATTTAGACTCTCTGTATTAACCTGCTATAGCCAGGAAATTAAATTTGTAACTCAGATTGTATTTGTGGATACCTAACTTGTATTTCCTGTTAGTGCTAGAAAGTTTTTGTCTGAAATGAGGCTCTATAGTGAAAGACCACTACCTTATGTTGCTTGCTAAGCCTTTTTTTTTTTTCTATTTTTTTGTGGCTATCTCCTAGTACAAGGACAGCTCAAATACTATCCAGAACTGTCCAAATCACAGTTTTTTTAAACAAATCTTAGTAAATTACCCCTATGCTTCAGATAGTTTCCATATTTTGTTAATAGCAATACAAACAAACAAACAAAATGATTCTATGCAACCATGACAATAGTAAAATACTCATCTGTGAGGTTGATTTATAAACAGTTTTGGTTTTTCTTTAAATGTTAAAGCCTAATATTAATACTTATTAGATGAATTCTTTGTGCTTATTTTTGCTTTCTCATTGGGCTATTTATGAGCAGTAAACAACAGGCAAATTTAAGTTAGTTTGTTACTATTATCCAGGTACCATAGTAACTTCATAAAAAATTCCAAAAAATGTACATCAGAGTGCTGTAAGCAGGGCATAGTGGTACATGCATTTAATCCCAGCACTCTGGGAGACTGAGGCAGGAAGATTGTGAGTTCATGCCCAGCCTAGGCATGCCTGTCCCCAAACAAAATACATAAAAAGGGCTGTAGATGTAGCTTGATGCAAACGCCCTGGGTTCAATCCTCAGAAACACAAATAAATACATAAATAAAATTTTAAAAGTAAATAAAAGACTTTAAAAGAAGACCTTTTGTGTGGTGTGGTATACTGAGAAAAGTACTGAACACAGAGTCAGAAGATCTGAATTCTACTTCTACTACCTCCATCAAATCACAGAGCCTCTATATAAGGTGAACTTATTTGTTCATCTCTGAAAGGGTATTCATCCCTTTTTCACTTCTATCCTCAGGAAGTTGTCATTGACATAGTGTAATAAAACATATGAATGTTTTTTGAACTCTAAATTAGAACAGAGCAGTGATGTTGGCTTGTTGTTACTGAGTAAGTATATCTTTACTGGTTCTTTTACTAGTCAAAATAAAGCACTTAATTAGATGCTTCTGTAGGCAGCCAAGCTGGGACTAGGGGTGGGTAAGTAACTGAGAGTTCCTCCTTAGGTTTCACCTTGCTTGCCCCATCTTTGTATGAGTCTTGGTAAGCAGCCTCAAGATTATGGATCAGTCATGGAAAATATCTCCCTGCACCTTGTTGAGTTAGCTTTGGCTCTGTTTTCTCCAAAGTTTCTACTGGAAATTGATTTTCCTTACGAATTCTGGTTCTTTCTAAACCATCATTAAAGATACCAATCTTTTTTTTTAATTTTAAAAATAAATAAAAATGTAAAATAAAAAGTAAGTAAAAATTTAAAACTAGACAAGTTTCTGGGACTAATCTGTGCCATTCCTCCCCCAAAGTTAGCTGTCAGTAGAAGCTTCCAGAGTCTATCATTGTGGCTTGGTTCTCAACAGTCTCAAACACTTCAGGAAGATTTGGAGTATGTTCTAGTTTTTCAGATACTGCCATACCCTTATGGAGAAGAGATCTGCATTGAGACAAGCAACCCATGTTCTTCCCTGTTTCTTTTTTTTTCCCAGACTGATCATTAGTCACTAGCAAAGGGATCATTAGTTGCTTACTTCAAAAGACACATCAGCAGAGTATTTGTTCAAATGGCCAGGCAATTAATAGAGTTCTTGCTAAAGAACAGGACATGATAATGTAGTCTACAGAGATGGGCAGGGCATGTTTCCAACCTGGAAATGAAATAAGGGAAGTGCTTCACATAATGTTGCTTTTACAAACGTGATAGCTGCATTTTAACTGCTCCTGTTGACCATTATAAAGGCATCCTTAATATCCTGAATGTCAAAGGGACTCTTTTGTTCTCCAAGCTTTGCTTTGTTTGCTTGATTTCATTGGTTAATTGCTGACACTGTTAGTGAAAGAAAGAACTGCTACTCTGTGTTCACTTTTTTCTGCTGCTACACAATGAACTTTTTACTGGATTTGGCATACATAGCTCAATGTATCACATAAAGGCACACAAAGGGAAATATTGGAAAAATATCGCACCAGCTTTACATGATTTAAGGATCTATGAAAACAAAGAACACAGAAGTACAATGCTGCAGTTTAGGTGAGAAATTAAAATTGAGGAGAATTATTTTAGTATTTTTTAGCAATGATGAAGAAATCATTTATAAATATGTGTTAGAAGAATTATCATTTTATTTATGTGACATGAAAGGTTATAAACAGAGTCTGTGTTAAAAAGGGCGAGCGATAAGAACAGACTTGTATATTTAATTTCTTTTTAGATCACCACCACTGTCCACTGTGTGTGGCACTGAAATATTATTTACTCTACATGAAGCATTAGCCAGGGCTTGGTATTTAGGTCTGTTAAGAATCTATAACTTTTTTATATTAAACATCTATACAGTACTTAATAATTCACAAATATTTCCTCTACATTATCTTATTTGAGTTGTAAGACAACCCTGTAATATAAAATGAGGATGATAATCTCCATTTACATGTCATAACTCTGAGGCTAGTAAGAGAAAGTCTTCTCTATAGTCTGAAGCCTGTAAATGGAGAACCAAATTGCAAAAGTAGCTCATCTTATGCCATGCTTACTTTTTTTTTCCCCAAAATAAACCATGTTGTGAATATTCTAATTGTTGCTAATGTTTAAAGTTGATTAAAAACTTGCTATTCCTCTGTTTCTGTGAGATGTAGGGAATAACTTATTTTCTAAGATCTGCAATTGTGCATGTACATCGTAGGCTAGACAGGCAAAGGGAAATAGCTTGGTGTATATCAACATTTAAGCTAACAACTAAAACACATGTATATCAGACAGTGGGATGCCTTAAATATAAAAATCATCTAAGCATAAGTGGTCCATGGACTAATTAAAAGGCAGCAGCCCTGATTGGCAATGATCATAGTAGTTGTCAAAACAGTTCAATTCAGCAGTTTTGCTCTATGCACCCCACAGCAGAAGGAGCGTAAAGTAAGGGGCCTGACACTGCTGGCCCATGTGAAAATCACTTTTTTTGACTGATGAGTTTTTGTCTTTGTGTTTTTCCTGACACAAACAGTATATCAGATGTGATGTAAAATGCAATGAAATAAAATATTAAAATATTAAAATATAAATAAAATAAACAAATTGACCTTTGAAAACCTTCATGGATGGTATAAGTGGGACTAGAAAGAAGGGTTATTATGCAGAACAAATTTCAATAATTCTGAGGGAATCACTGATATCTATTGGCTCAATAGAATCTTTTTCTTTGCCTGCAACTTTAATAAGGAACCTTCCCTGTGACACTGCTTTTGACTCCTTTTGAAGATTTTGCGGAAATGTCATTTTGAAGATTTTGTGGAAATGTGACTTTGCATTGTTAAACAGATTCACCACTTGCACTGCTACAGCCTTATTCAGGTGGTGCTTTTCTATGCATTTTGCACTGTTTCCCATATTGTACATATCTTTCTAATCTCATTTGAAATAAGGAATTCCTCTGCCTTTTTCTCCTACTCTTCTACAGAAGTGATCTCTGTTATAACCTCTTGCTGTTGGGAGATGATCATCCACAATCCCAGAGAAAGAGAGAAAGAGAAAAAAGAACATTAGGTTAGTAGTGATCATGTGACATTTGCCATCATTTACTCCACATATTGCAAGACATTACTTTTTTTTCAAGTTAAAATTTATTAGAAATATTTGCTCATTCTGTGGAACACTCACAAAGTTGCTCAAAAATCCAAAATATTAGCATATTTACATATTGAAGGTTGCATTTTTTTTGTTGTAAATATAAATTATCATCACTTTCCATAAATTTTCTTCCATTTTTTAACTCTACATAGATCAAATTTTTAAAAAATAGTTTTTTACTTGTTCATGAATAAGGCAGCTAGGTAGGAAAAGGCCCTCTGATGGAGCTGTGTGGTTGCCATAGTGTTAAGAAAAAAAATAAGTATAGTGAACTAGGACTTTGGACCAAGAATGAACTTCATCAGGTAACATGGAATGCAACCTCCTTCCTACTAAAGAGATTTGCTGCTCCTCCTTAATAAGTTCCTGAGTTTTGAGAAATTTAAAATGCAAAATAACCAGTTTTTTTTCCAAAATTATAGTTTCCTTTAAACCTTACATGCTGAATAACTGAAACAGCCTATGTTTCAACTGGTCATTTTAAATCCACAGAGCTGCTGTGATAGGTGGTCATTAACAACTGAGCGATTTTGTGTTCCACTTATCCATAAAAACGTCTGGAGTGGGTGGTAGGGCTGTGGTGGTAGTAGAAATTTCACCTTTTGAATTACCCTCCTGAAGAAACTAGGAGCCTTTTTCTCTTCTGCTTATCCCAATAAAAGTTGTCTCAACTTCTTCCTTTTTGGTTCCCACTTATTTTTTTTATTTTAATAAAATCACAAATTCACTTTGTATATAATTAACTGTTTCACTAAGTTACATGGAAATCTCAGAGAATTGCACTAAATAGAAAATCTCAATCTTAATATTTAATGGAAAAAAGTCAGCTCCAACATTTTCAGAACTTTTAACTCTATTCAGAGAATTTTTCTAGATGGAAGTGGATTAAAGATCTAAATATTGAGACAGGAACACTAAACTTGCTGGGAGATAAGTTAGGTAGAAATCTTGAAGACATTGGAATAGGAAAAGACTTTATGAACAAAACCTCAGTAGCATGGGAACTAGCACAAAGAATCAACAACTGGGATCTCATCTTATTAAA